TAAATGATGAATCATCATAAACATAATTGTGAAGAAAATACTCAATCAATACATTCAATTATTTTGTCATCAGATGAAGAAAATGAAATTATCGATGAAAAGAAACCATTAACACATACATTAGTAACTAAAATGGATATGTCATCAGCTATAGAACCAATGGTAGTAAAACAATCAACATATAGTATTATTGATTTATGTACACCAGTGAAATCATCGAATACTAGTAATATTCCAATGAAAACAAAAGATTATATACCAAAAACAATTACAACACATAATCAAGCACGTCTATCTCTTCTACCAACATTTCCAACACCAATCTATGATAATCATCCACATCTCTTATTATGTAATGTACCAGTTCAATTTTTATCAATTGAACAAGTATGTCGACGACAACAATATAGTCATCAATCATCTTGTACTTTGACCATACCTACTAATCATTCTATACCATCTTCAATACGTGATTATTTTGATATTCATCATCAACCATTAATCGATCGATTGAATATTAATTCGACTTTACTTGATTATAATTATTCTCGTCTTAATCATTGTTTAAAATTATTTGCTGATGAACGTATTCATCGATTACGACAAACACCATATCAAGTTCGATTATTAGATGAAGAAAAATGGGTAGCTATGGAATTCTTTCTACAAGTAGATGTTGATTTATTTTATATGAAAACATATTCAAATTCAATGAATAAAGATCTCTTTTCTAAAAATGAACCAGAATTGAAATTTATTATGAAACCATGTGGTCATCAAAAATGTGGAGTATGTACATTGTCAAATCATATTACTCGTCGTCCACAATCGTCTATCGATTTTGAACATAGTGGAAAATATCGATTTATCAATGGTTATGAAACAATTCTTAATGGTCCAGTAATGTGTTATACATCAGGTATTATTTATGTTCTTCGATGTGTTTGTAATCAATATGAATATGTTGGTGAATCAAGTAATAACATTCAATATACACTCGATCGACATCGCCTAAATGGAAATCAAATTATTCATGATTTTCTTACTGGTGAACAATCACATGAGTATAAATAATTTCAATAATAATTACATCTATTTTTATTTCTTTTTTTTTTAATTATTTATACAATGAATAGAAAGAGTAACATGCATCTATATCAACATTCACCTCGTTGTTCTATCGCTATGCAAATGTTTCTTAATTGTTATCCACATTATTGGATTTTTGTACCTATGCCAAGTCATACAGCACAAGAACAAAATATGAATTATATACCATCTGAATCAACAACAGCTTATTTTCTTCATTTAAATCCACGAATATCGACACGATATTCATCATCATCATCATCATCATCATTTGTAACTCGTAATGATCGTGAAATTCGTCAATGTCTTAGTCATATTCCTTTGCCACCAGTTGGTTATCAATTTTCTGAACAACAACGTGATGCACAAGTTGAATTTTTCAAGTATAAACAAGATTATCAATTACCAGATCTTCCATTAGATTTATATAATGCTTCTATTATTGCAGTATGTAAGTACAAAAGCTTTATTATAAAAACAACAAAAATCATAAGATAGAAGTAATATAATGAATTTCTAGTACCAGACAAGACATCAGCTGTTCTACGACAATTTATTGCTTCTTTATTTATTACACATGGTGAAACTAAATTAAATTCAATTGGAAATTTACTAACGGAAGGTAATATTGATCCTCCATTTCTACAAGGATCATTTCGTGGAAATTGGTGTCATGCATTGATCTCTCCTCTGCTGTTATCATCATCAACAGCAGCAGCAGTACCAAAGACTGGTGATCCATTATCAAGAATAAAATTTGAGTGAACCATTACATAGACTAATCATTTCATTGTTTCATTTTTTTTCTTGATTTTTCAAGTTTATTTGATTCATCTATTCATTTCTTTCTAAACTTAAGACATTAAAAATATTTAATCATTATTTCTTCTATTGTAGATACATAGCGCTGAACAATTATTATCTTTTAGGGATCTTCTTTACTTATCGAACAATACATATAATAGTTATCTTTGTAAAGGTATGAAACACATTGGTGAAGCAAATATTTGCATTTAGTTCTTTTAATAATAATCATAGTAATTTTGTATCTTAGATATATTAATTCAACTATTTCACATGGATTTACCAAGATTTATTCCATTAGAACCATATCAAACACATGATATTGATGAATCAATTTCACCACTTATAATGGATCAATTGTTTGAAGAAGCATTCAAAACAACACGATTTACAATATTTACTGCATACGATAACAACTTAGGAGATCGAATATACATTGAAATAATTCGACCTTTATCATCATCGATTATGTTGTGTCTTAAGAAGTCTTATGGATATTCATCTGTTCAAATTAATCAAATACATGAATTATTATCCATTATTTTCGATTTTAATAATCGTATTTATTTATGGGGAGATAATCTTAATTATATCATGGGAATATTAGAAGAATATGATTTATTTGTTTATGATCATATCCTTCATCCCATTGATGTTTTTGATGTACACGAATACTTTCAAGATTGGTATTGTTATACATTTGATGGTTATCCATGTTCTTATCCATATAAGCCATTTATATCATTGTATGAACAGTATGATCTTACATATGCAATTGCTTATACGTTTAATTTATATCTTGATATTAATAATGATGATTATGATAATCATCTGAATCAATGTTTAGCTATTACAACATTAGCATTAGTCATACAACAACAATGGACACGTAAACAAATTCAACAATATATTAGAGCATATTCTATGTTGCATAAAGTAAATATTCATTCTTCTTCATCTTTAACTTATATTTTTATCAATTGTTTCCTTTTTTGTATATTAGAGATGTGGAGAGAATGAATTGTCGTCATCGTCATCATCATCAACATGATCATCGATATGGACTAGTATAAGTTTATTATAGTTATTTTTTGTTTTTATATTTTCATTTCATTGGTTTTCTTCCGTTTGGAAAACAACATTAGTCGTATATTTTCTTTCCTCTATTGTAGATATATATATATTTATTTTTCGTATTAATAACAACGATATTACTTACCAGCAAGCATCTATTATTCTACATTTAAGTTTGTATACATTCTACTATTATATAGTTTTTGAATATCTTCTAGATCCTATTTTCATCTCACTTTCGTTTAACCATTCAGATCATTCAATAATAACGTATTCATCTTAATCAATTAAATGGCATCACAATTGTCTACTAGTGATAATCGTATTCATGAACACCATTATTCAAACGTACAGTACAACAATTATTATAATATTGTCAATAATTACAATGATGATCATTATGATTCTCATCGAATGAATAATCGTTATCATCATCGTCGTCATCGTCCACAGTCACCACGTTATCATATGAATAATTCTAATCATATCAATTCAAATTGTGACAATGGTAACTGGGATCTTACTATTTCAAGTAGAAAGAACGATGGCAAAACACCAATTTATCCTTATCTTGAATTAGATGCCGTAAACAAATGGTTTCAAGCTAATACACACGACATATTCAATGTCCTTAGTAAACCTTACATACGAGGTTATATGTTAGGTGCATCTATATTCCATGATGAATGGTATCGAAATAGTTATGAATTATCAGTGTGGGAAGAATATTTAAAGATGGGCACAGAAAAGAAGTTTTGGGTGGAAGAAGTGCTTCGATATACAAATACATATAATTGCAACACAAATATACGTTTTATTCAAACACAAATAAAGAAATTCAACGATATAATTACTATATCACGGAATAATTTTGAAGATTTCCAGTCTGAAGTATTAACCTATTGGAACAATGATCGTACTATTCCAGTACGTCAATTGTCCACTACTTCATCTTCATTCAACATGGAAGAAACAATAACAACAACAACACAAAAGCCTACTATTGATTCATTTATTGAACTGAATTTTTCTGTCCAGGATTATATTTTACAACGTACCAAATATGCAAAGAAGCTTGCTGAAACCAAAATACAATTGGCTCAAGCTCAATTAGAAGACTTTCATCTATCATAAAACTTGTTTCACTAATGACTTTATTTCTTTTTCTTTATATATCTACAAAGTAAACTACTCTCTCTATTTCTTTTTATTCTAGATATTTACATCTCCAGCCCTGAAGAGTAACCTTTGTAAAGGTACGAAACGCGTCGGCGAAGCAAATATCTGCATTTATTTATTTATTCTATTAATAAGCACATTAATTTATAAATTTATTTTGGACAATAGATCGATTGCTGAAAAGCAAAAGTTGAAATCAGCGGATTAATTTGTATCTTAGATATATAAGTTAATTTGTTTCATATCGATTTACACTTATTATATTAAGCATCAAATTATTTTTGAATTATATTCTAATTTGATCAATTTATATTTCAATTTATTTTAACGGTCGAAATGTCTAACAATAATCAACGTCAACAACAACAACTACAAGAACAAGCACCACTACCATCACAACAACATACACGAGGTGGTGATGGTAGTGGTGTTTTTTGGGCAATCAATCAAGTTATAGGGGCAATCAGTCAAGTTATAGAGGCAATCAATCCGGTGATCGACGCAATCAATCCGGTGATAGGCGTAATCAATCAAATTATAGACGTAATCAACCAAATTACAGACGTAATTATTATAATAATGGCTACCAACGTCGAAATTATCGAAATAACCATTGAAATGACTATCGATATCGAAATCGTTCTCGTTCACCATATTATAATGGAAATCGTCGTTTCTATCGTCAACGAACTTTTTATAATCGACATCGTTCACCATATATAAATCATAATCGTCGTTCTTATAATCAATATTCTTATCATCAACGACCTTATCGAAGTCGTTCTCGTTCACCATATATTAATACAAATCGTCGTCATAATAATAATAATTATAATCAACGAACACGTTACAATAATAATCGACGACAAAGATCATCATCAAGATCCAGGGGTAGTCGTCGTCAACCAAGTCAACGAACAACACGATTACCAACAACAACAACTACAGATGCATTACCACAACGAACGACTACAAATGGAAATGATACACAACCATTTATTGTTAACCCAGATGATAATAATGATAATCAACCATATGATAATAATAATGATCAACCATATGATAATAATAATGATATTCAACCACAGCAACAACAACAACAATCAACAAGAAGAACGACATCAGGTTTTAGACGTCGTCAACGTCGCAATCGACAACAGCATTATCGTCAACAAAATAATAATAATGATTATGATTATAATAATAATCGATTTGCTGCACTTGCCAATCTTGATGATAATAATGATAATGGCAATGACGACGATAATAATGATTATGATAACAACAATAATAATAATAGTAATAAAACTAATAATAAAAATAAACAACAAAAGAAGAAGAAATCTTACTTTTATCTTTCACGTGATCAACTTTGGAAACATGTCAATCAAGATCGAACAAGTGAATTTTATAAATTATTACAAGATAGTCGAACTTATGACATTACAAAGAATTATCTACTTACTGTTGCTCCTGTCTATGATGAATGGATACGTACGAACCATGAATTTATATTATGGACTGCCTACAAACAATTAGGTGAAAATGATGATTTTTGGGCCAAAGAAATTATTAATCGTATAAGATCACGACCAGATAAAGTTGGAATTAAATCATTTGTCGATAAGAAAATTAATTCTTTTCAATTAAAACTCGATGAATGTTCAGTAACAATTAACAAGTTACAAAAAGAATTCGCTGAATATTGGTCACAAGTAGCATTACGTCGTAAACAGACACAACCTTCTACAATGGCTACAAGAGAAAGTACTACAGCACGTCCTGCTTCTTCATTCGATTTTGAAAAAATGGAAAAGGAATTATCCGATTATATTCATAATCATACAAAACATGTTAAGAAGTATTGTAATACACGTCTTGAAATTGCCAATTTAGAAAAAGAAGAATATCAAGCCCTTCAAAATTTTAAGAATATGGCAGAAAAGAAACCAATATGGAATTTCCATTTACTTTTACAAACCAAATTAACTAAATGGGACAATAAAAATAGGAATTTTCATAAAATACAAAAACGTATGGAATATAATTTACTTCCTCGATTTATTGAAAAACATGATTTTACATTTAAAATTGATACTAAAGTTTTTGAACAAGATGAAATACAATCTATTTACGATGGAATGCGTGAACTTACAAATTCATTTAAAAAGCAATCAATGGAATTCTATTATCAAGTAGCTGCTCGTGAATTAAACAATGTTCGAAATGGAATTGATATTATTATAGAAAATTGTCGTCCTAGTCCACCATCTGCATTAAATCTTACTGTCAATGAAGCACCAGATGATGTACCAGATGATCAAGATAGTGATGATAATAATAGTAATAATAGCAATAAAGAAGATAAACAACATTTCGAAGCATTTGAACTTTATTATAAATTATGTATGAAACGACATCAATTACAAGCTGAACAATCGTGTCATTTTTTAGACGAAGAACGAATCGTGGGCGAAATCAACACAGAAATTGCCCCGATTCTAATCCCGTCGTCGGCAATAGCCATGGACCATTCGGTCCAAATATAATTAATCAAGCATCAAATATTCAATTAAACGAGGATGAATATCATATTCTTAAATTAGGTCCAAGATTTATTTTCAATGATCCAAAGATAGCATCTCAACGGCGAACCAAAGAATTGTCTACATTAAGAAGAAAACTTGAAAGTCGTTTTCATGAAAAGAAAGTCAATCCCGGTCGTCCTGCTCAAGAATTTATAAATGAATTAGATTTAATTCTTCAAAATTACCATGATATTCATACAAATCCTCGTTTATCTATTTCAAAAAGAAAAAATTACCATAGAATTGTTAAACGATTAAAATACAAATTACGTTTGGCCAATGTTATAATAAGAAAAACTGATAAATCCAAAGTCTTCCACTTAGGAACTTCCGAACATTATGATCAACAATCAATTGAATATATGGAGAGAACAAAGGCTTATGAATGTATTGGCTCAATTGATCCATTACCAAAATTAATTCAACATACAAATGAATATTTACTTGGTTTACGTCTTAAGAAATGGATTTCACAAAAACAATATGAACAATTGTGCCTTAAACAAACAGATGATATTGAATTAGCACATCTTTATTATTTGCCAAAAGCACATAAGCCCTCGACTCCACTTCGTCCAATTATCTCTGGCCTCAAACATCCAACATTAAAAATTTCCAAGTTTTTAGATGATCTATTAAGACCATTATTTAATCAAATGGCTTCTAAAACAACGATTACTTGTGGCTTCGAATTGATCAAACATCTTCAAAAATGGTCATCATTAAATTTATATAAAGAAACAAGTTTATGCACCATTGATATCGTTGATCTCTATACAATGATCCCACAAGTTGCCGGTGTAATGGCATTAAAGAAAATGTTAAATCATCTACAATTACAAAAAATTGGTGAATTAACTACAGATACCATTATACAATTAGCAAGATTTGTAATGGAAAACAATTATTTCAAATATAAAGATGAATATTATCATCAAATTCGTGGAGGAGCAATGGGCTCTCCACTTACACTAACTATTGCTAATTGTTACATGTTCTTCTTCGAACAATCTATTATTCGACAAATTACAAATAGTCATGGCTTATATTTTCGTTATATTGATGATATAATTATCATAGTTAATTGGCCAAATCGACATTTAAAGAAAGAAGTTAATCGATGGAATACTTATGATGAAAATATACAATTATCTGATACTATTAGCAATTCCATCAATTTCCTCGATCTTCATATTGAAAATAAAGATGGTCAATTAATAACCAATGTGTTTACCAAGCCATCATATCAACCTTACTTTTTGCCTTTCAATAGCATTCATCCTTTGCATATGAAAGCAAACATACCATTTACAATGTTATTACGTGCCATTAGATATTGTTCAACATTTCAATCTTATTTACAAGAACGTGAACATCTACGAATGGCTTTACTTCTTAATCAATATTCAATTAACTTTATTGATCAACAATTTAATCGTCTTCTCGTTAAATTCAATATTCTTCAACCATTAACTTCAACTAATTATAATACAATTCGTTTACAAGTCATCAATAGCCCAGTAAAAATTAAAGAACCAATCAATTATGGCCAATCTATGTTTATTCATTTTACTTATTGTTCCAGTATGAAATCATTTCCACAAAAATTTCATCAGCTTTGGAACAAATACTTCTCTGAATCACCAATTAATGATGTTACACC